GCAAGGGTGAATAGAGGAAAATGGTCCATTTGATGTATAAGAGCTGTGTCAATTCCAAAGAGGCCTCAGGGAGTCTACAGCCTTTCTGTGCCCTGATTCTTTTTAGAATCAATGTAAGTAGAAAGAAAAATAATAAGTAAAGTGTCAATCTGACAGTTTCTGAGGCACTGCAGGAACCAAGGGTAATGCTTTCAAAATGGCTTTCAGAAACTTAGATTTCCTTTTTAACAAGACAGAGTCAATCTCTCATCAAAGCCTGCTCTGATGGTTGTTTTACCCAACGAGGGGCATAGTAATAGTTATATATCTGAAGTTTCTTCTGTAGTTTCAGGACAAAGGGGCTGTTGAAAGGGCACAGGGAAACTCCTGCCAACCTCACTCCACTGGCTGAAAGCAAACCCAGAGTGTAGTCAGAGACCAAAAGTTCCTAAGGCTACCTTTGTAAATGCCCTGCTCAATTTTTAGGCTTTAAGACAAGTAAAGGTTGCCACAGTACCTAATACCCATTGATTTCAACACCTATTCAGACTTCAGATGTTAAAACACTCAAGCAGATACTATTCAGCCTGTCCTACATGCTTTTAAAGTTCTGGTTCAAAGCCATGTGTAAAAGCTCCAATTTAGCCTCTTAAGGCATTTAGGCCTTTGAACATTTTCTCCAAGCCTTAGCTCTAGGTGGTAGCTCTGCTCTTCCATAGGTTCTCATGTAGGACTAGAGAGGCAGCAGAAGGTCCTGCGTGGCATAATCTGGAGCCCTGTGGAAAGCAGGACCAAGGAGAATGTGCAGTTGCTGGGGTAAGCTGCATATCAAGCAGCGCAGCTTCCTTCCCTTGTCTACCTTGTCCTGCACATCTGGCACTCAGAACACTTGCGTGTGGTTGTAAGACAGGAGAGTTTCAGCTTCCACACTGCTTTCAGTGATACCACATGAAGAACAAATCTCATGTGATGCCATGTTCCCTTTTCAGATGTTGAGTGTCTTGGTGCCTAGTACTGTCAGCACAGGTTGCAAGGACCTACTCTTAGCCACTTTAATTAGAAAGTGAGATGCTCCCAGAGGAAGATTTGTTAAGAGCTAAATCACCTATCAGAAACTGCTATTCTTCTCCACTCACCACAGGAGTCCAGACATCTTATGGCTCCCTCAGCTGTGTAAAGTGGGGTGCACGCTGCTGAAAGCAGTACTTAGGCCCTGAAATTCTTGGTTTTCTTTTCCCAGCCCATTTTCCCTGCAACAACACTGCATACATTGGCATTCTTTCCTAGAAAAACACAATATTTAATCGCAGTGCGTGATAAGTTTAATCTGTAGCTGTCTCAAGAAAATATGCAAATAGAGTCATTGCAATGCAGAGCACCTTTAAGCAAAAATGGTGAGATAAATGCAATCAAGTCACAATTACCCTTTTTTGAGAGGGCACATTACACACGCTCAGTAAATATGATTTATTCTAAACCTGCTTGCACATAACTGAAAAGCAGGATAGAAAAAGGTGCCGAGTACAGTCATGGCATTATAGTAGGGTTCAGTTTCCAAGATCTTTGGCTGCTGCATATATTACTCTTTGCACTACCACTTCTCTATCGTGATTCAGTGCTCAGGTCAAGCATAATTACAACTTTCTTTTTAGCACAGGAGTTGATAGCTAATCATTTCTTGTGAAATTATTCAAAGTTAAAAGTATCATTTTTTATTCATCTCTTGTTCTCTATAAAGATGATGAAGTGTGATAGTTGAGATATTGATCTTCTCTGCCCATGAGCCAGACTCGGGGTCATAATTCATCTGAGGTGAAACCCTCTGAATTATGACGTTCTTGCCCTTACCTGCAGGCAGTGGAGCTGCTGTAGGGACATCCCTGTGGAACATTTATTGCAAGATAAATGTTGTATAATAATTATCCTTTTTGAGGGCAGGTGTGCTTTACTGTTTCCTCTTTTTCTGATGCAATTTCTGTTGCTAGAAGCTGTGTGCGAAAGCAGTGTTCACTCTGACCTGAAGAAACAAAGGTCCTTTCTTTTTTTGGCATGTTATTACATATACAACAAGCAGGTGTGAATTAGCTCTAGGCCAAAATATAACCTCCTTTCTCAAGCAAAAACTTCATATCTGGGCCAATGGTAATATTTATGTCAGCTTATATTTACTTTGGGTGTGGTTATAAGGTTATTTCTTCCACCTATTTGGGTTCTCCTTTAGAGGTAAAAGAGAAAAGTTTTTCTAAGGAAAAGATAACAGAGTATCAAGAATTATACTTGGACACCAGGCAAAATATCTAATAGGTTCCTCAGTGCTGGAAATTATCCATCCTTCTGAGGTGCTTCCAGTAATGACCATTGAATATAACAAATGTAAGGTTGCCAAATATCTTACTATTCATGGCTTCTGAACATCAGAAAAGCCCAGTGGAATTCCTCCAGCTTGACACAGCTATTGTAATTCAGTGCCCTAAAATATTTAGATATGTGCAATCCTGCCACACTCATGGGTCATCATAAGCAGCTACAGAAGCTAGATTGGTTTCCACTTGAAACAACAGTTACTTAAGCCATTGCCAGCTCATCCTTTGGAGTTGCTGAACATTTTAAGAGGTTTAATTTAACATCAAGGAAATCCCAAGACTGCAAATGTGTAAAGTGCTTTTTGGTGCTATTAGTACCCATTTAACAAAGTTACAGTCAGAAGTGTTTATTTGTATGTAGAGTCCTTACTTGAACTCAGACTTCAGAGTAGGTTTGAAACTTGAACGATAAATAAGCACTTTTTCATATGGTTAAATACTTCATTTTAAGCACATGTTAGTCCTCTTGGCTTCATTGGGACTGCTTCTGAGATGAAAACTAATTACTGGGGACATGGGGGGTGTGTATGTGCATGTATGTGAATACATGTTTGCAAAATCTGGACTCCACTGAAATCAATGAAACTTGTACTATTGACTTCTAAGGGGCTCCAATTTTATCCCTGGAATTTTGCTGCTTTCCTACTGTCTCCCTGGCAGTGTTAGATACATTAATGCTATGTTTTTTTAGCTGTTATTGTTTTATCTTATACAAAACTTCATGCAGTCTTGGGAATTTATTTTCTTAACCATATTTCCTTCATTATCCCTCACCTCTGAATTTCTTCAACTTCCAACCACACCGGAAGGGATTAGTTTTAAGATCCACAGAACACTTTATCTCTCAGTGGAGCATGGGATGATACGTTCAGTTTCTTCCGGCTTTTATTAAGTTGTTATACTGACTCATCAAAGCTTAGGGGGAGAAGTTCATAATTATGTTTCTTTCAACTGTGTATGGCCACAGAATTTCTCTCTTAGGATTTTTTTACATTTTAATGTAGCTGTTAAAAAGATGCTGTAACACTTATTTGAAACTCTTCAGTACTAACTTTCTGGTCTAGATCAGTAAAAAAGTGATGAATTAAAATAATAGATGCATGAGTACATGTTAATTCCATAAGAACAATTACCCGTGTCCCGGCACTTTTTACGTATTTTGGGTTTCTGATACCATTTGTTTTCCTGGGGTTTTTCTTGAGTCCATTACTGTTTTCTTGAATACTATTGAAGGCAATGTATCTATTCCACTTTTCTCGTCATTCACAACAGCACTTTCAAACTCTAACAGTATTTTTTCAGAGCAACATGAACTTTTCATTGACTGAAGGTCAAAACTGACTTGGAGAACAGATGGAGCATGGAAGGATAAACCTTTGCCACCCACTGAGCATTAACACCTGTTACATCTGCCCACTGCAACTCAGAGGCTCCTGAAAATGTTACCCAAGTGATTTAAGACTTGCTGTTGGACTGAGTGCAAATGGATTTTGTGAAAGAGGTGTTGTTTATACCTCTTTACTCAGGCTACCCATTCTGGGAGCTTAGGATGGCAATTAACTCCATGTGCTTAGACTCTAAAAGAGGCACTAGGGTTTTGTGGAGGTTACAGCAGTAAGATTTAAAAAGAGCACCATCGAGATAGCACTAAATGGAAAGTGTGAATGTTTTAAAAGCACAGATAGATCTAGGATTTCAGTTAATTTCATGCACTCCCCCTTAAGCCTGGTTGTATATAACGTAGTTTTCTTTGGGGATTCCAGAGAAGGCAGAATAAAAATAGTTTGTCACCAAACCCAAGTGAAGGCATTTCAGCCACTTGATCAGTGGGGAAATTGCCCTCTGTTTGTGATCCTATACCTGTGTTCCTGTCTTTCTGCAGTAGCTCTCCGAAAGATACTTACTGGGGAGTGATGTGACACTAAATCAGGAGTTATTCCTGTGCTTTTCAAGACTGGCCCCTGGATTTGGATACTTGTATTTAGAGTAACTGCCAACTGTATTTCAGTGAGAAAATTAGTCATTCATTAAACTGCTCTAGATCAGGAAACAGAAAAATGGTATTATGCAGCATGAAAAAAGCAGTGAATGAATAGGTGGTTTGCTTGTACCAGCTGAATCTCAGCAGAATATATGATATATTTATCCTTGTTACCACGTGTTTAAAATTAGAAGTATGCTTTTTAAGTTTATGGAACATCCTTTATTGGCCTGATCCAAGGTCTATTGTCATGGGGTGTCCTGCTAACCTTCTTTAGGGCTTATGCCCTCAAGGATGGAATTCAAGAAGAATAAATGGCAGAAATATCATGTTGTGGATATCATTCCTAAATACTGTGTAATGAAGCTCTAAACAATAAAAAATGCAAAAAAATGTGTTCATACTTTTGGGCAGGGCTGTTTCTCAAGTTAAGAATGTGCTGTGTATCCTTGTTGAAATCCAGAAGGGTGTACAAGTCAAAGAACCCATCTGTTGTTCAGAAAACTGATCTTTATTCCACACGTGTCCTACATGATTTTAAACAACTGGCCCAGGACATAAAAGGCCAGCAAGAGCTGATAATAATGAGCCATTTCTAACCTTATTTCAGGTTATACGACATTATGACTCTCCAAGAATATAACCAGCCTTCCTTTCTGGTTTTCTGCAGGTTGAGAAACAGCAATTACAAAACCATGCATCGCAGGCACACAACCCTTCGGGAGAAGGGCCGGAGGCAGGCCATCCGGGGCCCAGCCTACATGTTCAATGAGAAAGGCACCAGCCTGACTGCAGAAGAGGAACGCTTTCTTGATTCTGCAGAATATGGCAACATTCCTGTCGTGCGAAAAATGCTGGAGGAATCCAAAACCTTGAACTTCAATTGCGTTGATTATATGGGACAAAATGCCCTTCAGTTAGCTGTAGGGAATGAGCATCTGGAAGTGACAGAGCTCCTCCTCAAAAAGGAGAATCTTGCTCGGGTTGGAGATGCGCTTTTGTTAGCCATCAGTAAAGGATACGTGCGCATCGTAGAAGCAATATTGAACCACCCAGCCTTTGCACAAGGACAGCGTCTCACACTCAGCCCCCTTGAGCAGGAACTGAGAGATGATGATTTTTATGCTTACGATGAAGATGGAACTCGGTTCTCCCATGACATTACCCCTATCATACTTGCTGCCCACTGCCAGGAGTATGAAATAGTTCACATCTTGCTTCTAAAAGGCGCACGGATTGAAAGGCCACATGACTATTTTTGCAAGTGCAATGAATGTATTGAGAAGCAGAGGAAAGATTCCTTTAGTCACTCTCGATCGAGAATGAATGCCTACAAAGGATTAGCCAGTGCTGCTTATTTGTCTCTTTCCAGTGAAGACCCTGTCCTTACTGCTTTAGAGCTAAGCAATGAACTGGCCAGACTAGCCAACATTGAAACTGAATTTAAGGTAATTTACCCCTGTGCTTTTTCCTTGGGCTGAGTGTGTTCAGGGTACCGTATGTTTTACATGTTTGATCAGGTCTTGGTTTGCCATTTGAGGGGGTGGGGGAGGAAAGAGAAGCTACAGAAACTGCCAGATGTGTTAACTACACAGATTCTGATCACTCTGCATTCTCCAGCTAATAAACGTTTGGAACTGAATATTGCATAATATCACAGAGACATGCTTACTCAGAGTTTTTATGATGCACACTATTATTGATTAGAATCTCTAGTTTGTGACAGGAATAAAAATCAGATTATTACAAAAATGGAGACTCATTTTTGTAAGAAAGGTAAGTCTTTTTAATGACCAATTTATTTTAAAGGAAGAGTTCTAGGAGTTGGTTTAATGGCTTAAGAATCCGATACATCTAGTTCTGTTGCAATGATAAAAGATATAAATTAAGCAAATTTGATTCTCTGTAAAATAATATAAATTGCATTGCATCTTACAGGTTTAGTACTGCATCTATATATGAGGAATTTCATGAAAAAGAAGGAGAGAAATGATCAAGAGATTGTTATGAAGTTTATTATCTTGCCAAACATAACAGTGGAACTTGCAGGACTGTCTTACAACTTATTCAAGATTTGCATTATCATGAGTTTGTAAATGTCCTGTGTCATTTTCATTCTTTCTTTAAGTCATTTGCATGACATAAATAGCATTGTGTCCCTTCCTAAAATAAATTAGTCATGAAAAAACTCATTTTCAATGGCTCAGTCATCAACACAGGACTGTTTTCTAACTTACGACTACTGTGCAGCTACAATCGCTATCCGTGACACTGGGGAAATAAAATCTATGTTGTGAGTAAACTAGTGTAGGATGCCTGCCAGGAATTCATTATTTTTAATTTAGAAAACTATTGAAGTGTTAAAGGATCCATTTCAGGATTTGTAAGTGTATGCTGTAAAGGATTAAGGCAGCGATCATCCTCATGTACTTGGCACTGGTGAGGCTGCATCTCAAATCCTGTGTTCATTTCTGGGCCTGTCACTACAAGAGAGATATTGAGGTGCTGGAGTGGGTCCAGAGAAGGGCAATGGAGCTGGTGAAGGGCCTGGAGCACAAGTGTGATGAGGAACGGCTGAGAGACCTGGCGGGGTTTAGTCTGGAGAAGAGAAGGCTCAAGGGGAACCTTATAGCACTCTACAACTACCTGAAAGGAGGTTGTAGTGAGGTGGAGGTCAGTTGGTTCTCTCAAGTAACAAGCTATAGGACAAAAGGAAATCGCCTCAAGTTGGAAGGTTTAGATTGGTCATTGGGAAAAATGTCTTCAGCAAAAGGCTTGTCAAGCATTGGAGCAGGCTGCCCAGGGCAGTGGTGGATCACCATCCCTGGAGGTATTTAAAAGACATGTAGATGTGGCACTTAGGGACACGGTGGACTTGGCAGTGCTGGATTCACAGTTGGACTCGATCTTAAAGGTCTTTTCTATGATTCTATGGCCTCCAATTTAAAAGTGGGAAGAAAGCACATTCTGAGGCTCTTCCTTTTGAAACTCTAGTAAGTCTCTAGCAGGAAAAAATACCCAAACCACTGAGCTCTTTTGACAATAAGATTAGGGCAAAATCCTGCAAACTTTTTTTACCCATGTGAATCACAATTTCAAGGACACAATAATTTAAAGGGAGTTTTACTTGCATGGCATTCAGTCCTAGTGAAACCACCTCACTTGGTTCAATGAATCTTGCTGCTTGAGTGAGGGTTACTCCTGTGTGCAAGCACTGCAGGCTCACACCCGCAGTTAACAACTTTAATATCTCATTAACGTTCCAGCTATTTTTCAGTAGGAAAATCTATATAGTGTGGAACATGAGCAGCCTTGTACTGCATGCTTGTCAGTTATGATAAGTGTCTTGCTGCACAGAAGTAAATTTATTTCTACCAGAGTCCTGCCTTTTTTTCATAGAGCTGCCAACATGGTCTAGACTGGCACTGGCAGGTACATGAATCCTTGAGGAGCAAACAAGCAATCAAATGTTAAATAGTCATGGTGGTTATGTCTCCCCATTTGGGAAATGGGTGTGAGTAAACCAATACTGGAAAACAAGTTAGAAATACTTTGCTAAATTACTGTATTTCCAGGAAGGTTTTCCAATTTCTGTGCCTCTTTGGAAGGTTCTGAGCAATACACACCTGCGTATGGTAGTGAACTACCTCAAAAGTACTCATACCTCTAGTTTACTTCAAAGTTATCACATTCCTCTAGTATATTAATGCTTCCAGAAATAAGAAACTTCTCCAGGTTATAATGTATTCTCACTGTGGAACAAAAATCAGATGTATGTATTTATGCAAAAATATTTATTCTTATTAACATAAGTATGATGTGGATTAGGGTATTAATAAAACAGTAGGGTTTTTTCACAGAACATGACATTCTGAGAATTCATTTCCAGAAAATGCTGAAAATGTGTTTAAGAACCCCACAAATTATGAAGATTTATGGAAGCAGACAAGCTCCAGAGGACTTCTTTTGTGCCTAAAATAATAATTTCCTAGAATTTTTAATTTTTAGCACCAAAGCTCTGTTGTTACAACTGGTGCTCAACAGATTCATAAAATTATCACTTGGGATTATTTCGGAATGGTTATATTTATATGCAGTCTTAGGCAATACAGTTTTCAGGAGGTACAAAAAGTCCTTGAAACGAAGGACATGAGTAAGATTTTAATAATGTAGGTGGACAAATAGTAATTAAGTAACCTCTAAAGAAAATCCTAGCATGAGCTAATTAAAATATAAATGCAGTGCCTCTCACCTGCTGCTTGCTGCCCTAAATCTCTTATGCAATAGCACCATTCAGCACAGCAGAGTGAGGAGCTAATAACATGCACTATGTTTTTAGAGACCGTGAAATTTTTTTAGGTGAGTTGCCTCTCTGTAGACTTGAGAGGTGAAACAAAACAGCCATGTGAACCACTTTAAAGGAGAAAAGTTGCATTAGTGGTGGTTGGCCACAGTTTAGGAGAGACTCCAGTGAAGATTACTAGGTAGAAATCGTTTTATCTGTTCTTTTTTAAGGTGGCAAAAGCTGAATAGATTGTTCTCACCCCAAATTGCTAAGATAAAGTCTTACATTGCAGTTCTTAGGAAATGGCTTTGCGTAACCGTTGCACACCACAAAGTAGTATGGGAGTGTTTCTAAGGTGAAAATGGGAGTCTGGACATATGATAACTCACACTGGCCCTCAGCAGACTTCCTGTTAACCTATCTATAGGTCTTTAACAGCAAGAGTAGATGTTCTGACTGTCAGTCTGGAGTGGTTATACTGCCCTATTGAACTCCTTTTCTAATCTGTTGATTCTGGCTCAAAAGTGAGGTCAAGACAGTCAGCTGCTGTGTGGCTTCCTGCATGCTGAAAAGAGTAACAGTGGACACTTGGAGCTGGAAGAAAGAGAGAAGCTGCCAGAGCCAATCAATGCCAATGGTTTTACTGGGACACATACGCTATTGAGGTAAATCAGTGCTCTTTCACTGATGTTTAGGTGAGGTCCAGAAGATGCAGGTCTATCTGAGTATTTAGAACAAATGTACAGTTTAGATCAAAGTTGCTGTGGCATTATTTCAAGCAAATGCCAACTTTTGCAATGCTCATGGAAGGGGGTGGGGGGAGGAAAGGTGGAATAATGTTACAGTCACATAGAAGTAATTTCATTTTTTCTCTTAAATTCTCTAGTGTCAAAATGATGCAAAAATGTTTTCTTATTAATGAGAGAAAAGAAATCACATTGAAAGATATAGCCCATGAGTTTAGAAATAAATAATCCCCCTTCCCCTAATAAGATGAAAAGTATTGAACTAGTTGGTACTATTGAAAGTACTAATGATGCGATTGCATTAAATGTCCTGGCAATTAGCCTAGAAATGGGGTGGGTAGGAAACCCTTCAGAGGTAACTACAGCATAAGACATTTCTAAATTATATGCCTCTTGCTGATGCTTTTAACTGTTGTCCTTTCTCTGAAAAATGCTGGGATCCAAAAGCAGATCCTAGCTGTGAGCCTGCTCTGGTGTTCAGGAGAGCATCATGTCCAGGCTCAGCTGGCTGATGATTGCTTTGCTATTTGTGGGGAGCAATGACTGCATGGCAGCAAGTCAAACATGTAGGTGCCTGCAAAGATGTGCCTGCTAGGAACTGGTTGTTGTTTCATTGGGGCTGCAGTAATGTAAAACAGCTGAGGCTCAAGTCTTTAAATTCTCATGACGGTGAAAGAGTGGCAAAACAGCCCTGGAGACTCAGTGTCTTGTATCTGCTAGGGAGGATCTGGCATCCTGCAGCACAGCTCTTGCTCCAGTAAGTCAGCTCCTTTTTCCTACCTAAATGTGAATTGTTAACTCCATAGCATGTGCCTGAACTTGTTCAGAGAAATGGCCTTGTAGATGTTCTCAGTATTTCTGGCTTTATTTCTGCAAATGAGAAACTGGGACCAGTTTCTTTAGGTTGACACTGAACTGCTGTTGCAAAGTAATAAGCACTAGTTACATCTTGCTGAGAAGCTGCAGCTTTTTAGGGTCTGTGGCTCTGCAGCATTGAGGAAAACTTCCTAACCTTCCTTTTTCAGGCCTTCTGCATATTGTGGGCATTGCTGAGGATAAATGCATCAGTGATTGTAAGCTGCTTCCTTTCCCCGTATTGATTGCTAAACTTAGTGAAATTTGAAAGTCTAACTCTTTAAATAGAAAATAAGTAGGGGAGTTTCTTTTTAAATTTGTAAGAAAATAAGAGGTAATGGTAATCTAGAGAAAACCAGATATGATTTTCTTATGTGAAGGCCTAAGAAATCTTGTAAAGAAGAGCTAAGTGCAAAATTTCAACTCTATGGTCCTGGCTGTGAACTATTGAAGAATACATGTTGCTTGGAGTTAAAGAAATCATTATTAGATTATTGCATTTTGAAATCAGTGATACAAAATAGGAAAGGGCAGAAAATATTGGGAAACAATATAGAAGGGG